CGAACATTGGAAGTCGAATGTCGAATAAATATTCGAATGATTTATCGAATAACTAGAGCAGCCATATCTCAAACTTGCCGACATTTCTGGCTAGAGCTGATCCAATCATAATCAGCCCCCTAATATCCCCTATACCAACTCCTAGCTCAAAATTTTCCAAAAATTGCTGAAATCGACAAAATTTTAGGTCGTTCCGAAAGTTCTTTCCGTTTTTTCAACCTATCATAAAAACAGGTGGAAGCAAGGTAGGGAAACGCTTCAGGCACTATCCGACACAGCTTTTCTTCCTCTTTCTAGCAGTCATATTCCCATGTCGCTTACTCTTGTGATCACTGAGATAATGGTCAAAATTTTGAACCCATGGTTTTTACCGTGTCCAAATTTGGCAATTTTTCACAACCTTCTTTTTTGACTTCTGGAGAAGCTTTAAAAGCAGTCAGATAAAGCAAACAAATTGCAATTTAATGCAATATTTCGGCGTTTATAGCTAGCTTTAAAAATCTTTTAGGATTATTTTTCTGATGCTATCAAATTCCACTTTTGCGACGCCAAGAGCCATTGAACATAAGACGGCGCACAATTAAGGTGCCATTCGATGCAGATTTTTCTTCTCTTTCTAACGAATGTATTTTCTTTCCAATTTGTGGGGTCTTTGGCAATGAAGCTTCCATAATTCTTGATTTTGAACCCGCCCCAGCCTGTATACGTAAAATGCGAAACTTTATATTTACAAGCGGTAAATGCTCAGTTGCTTTTTAAAAATTATGTATAATCGTAACTGACTTTTAAAAGCTTCAAAATCCGTAGATTTGCCAGTGTTCGGGGCGTTTCTGTATTTTGGGACTTTGCGAAAGTGAGGACTTTTAGAAAAATTATCTCAGAAAATACTGAAAAGCCAGCTGGATTTGCCAAAAAATTGCAATGCACTGCACTTTGTTTACTCTACTTGAGTGTTATCAAAGCTTCTCCGAAAGTTAACAAGAGTAAGCGACATGGGAATATGACTGCTAGAAAGAGGAAGAAAAGTTGCGTCGGACAGTGTTTAAAGCGTTTCCCCAACTTCATTCCACGTGTTTTTGTCATAGGTTAACGGAAAGAACTTCGGAACGACCTAATATTATAGATTTCGGTTTTAATCAGCATCCTTATTGACCCCCTGTATCAACCCCCAAGCTCGTAGCTCGAGATTTTCCAAAAAATCGATAAAATTTATAAAGTAAATTTTTATCCATAATCAGCATCCTCACTTACCCCCTTGTACCAACTCTCAGCCCCGCAGCTCAAACTTCCCCAAAAATCGATAAAGTCGGTCGGTCGGCATCTAGTCTATACATCAGCAAAAAGTCATATCTTACCCATTATGGACGATCTAAAAAGCAGTCAATATAAATTTTTATGCTGTACCCAAAAGAATCTTCTTCAGATGGTCTGAAAGAGACTGATGTACACCAGAATTAACTTTATTTCTTATCAGCATCAACAATGTAAAAGCAAAGGGCTTGCTCTACTTTCTACATCAATTAAAATCCACATATGATTTTTTTTACTGTCACAAGCAGTCGGAAGAATGCGACCTTCCATACAGTTCAAAGGTATAACGGTTGCAAAAGATGCATTACCGAGTTTTGCGAAAAAAATGCGGACGAAGTGAGCTTGATGCTCAGCAGTTGGCTCTCTAACAAAGTCGAATAATCTAGATACGGAATTTATTCGAATAAACATTCGAATAAAACATTCGAATAAAATCTATTAGGTCGTCCCGAAAGTTTTGTCGGTTTTTTCAGACCACTATAAAACCGCGCTCAATGAAGATCTGAATGAGCTTCAGAATGTTTTCGATACATCTTTTCCTTCTCTTTCTTGCGGTTACATTTTCGAACCAGAATCCTGTATGCTTTCTTTTATAATTGCTGAAATTCTTCACCCGTCATTTTTGTCTGCTCAAAGTTCAGCCAATTTTTGGAAATTTCATTTCGAAGTTTCGGAAAGGTTTAAGTAAGGAATAAATAGAGCAATTCGCGGACTACAAGATGATATTTTTGGATTCCACTAGTCTGCTGATTTTCGCTTCAAAAAGTTATTTCTCCGGAGGTCTCGATTTTTGGCAAAGTCATAAAACACGCAACTGCAGCAAAAACATAAAAACTTCTGAAGTTTCTGCAAATTGCAACATGATTCTTATTGAACACTAATTGTGCAACATTATCCAGTTTGACTCGCTTTGAAAAAGCAGCTTTTTGGAATTTTCGGTACTTTTACGTGGCAAACGTAGTCAAAAAGCCACGGTTTTCATTAAATAAATAATTATAACGGGTTTGGTAAACGTAACCCACGTAATCTAAAATGGGTACATTGTAGCCAAAGCTTTGCTCTACATAACAGTCACCAGCGTTCCTTAAAAGTATCAGGAGAGAAATTTTAAAAATTCATAAAGGTTTGGCGTTACTGTTGAGCTGCTCAAAAAGCCATGGCGGTAACATTGCAAAGACAGGGTGAGTCAGAGAACAAATATAGCTGTAAGAAAGAGGATGAAAATCTAAACCAAATGGTACCTAGAACGTTCATGGAATGGTGTTCTGTGAGTTTTAGTGAGCGATGGAAAAAACCGACAAAACTTTCGGGACAACCTAATATTCGAAACCCCGTTTTTTGATTATTCGAGTTTTCGAATAATATTCGAAACCTCGTTTTTTGATTATTCGAGTTTTCGAATAATATTCGAAACCTCGTTTTTTGATTATTCGAGTTTTCGATTTTATTCGAAACCCTGTTTTTTGATTATTCGAGTTTCGAATATTATTCGAAAATGGAAGAACTCCGAATATCGAATTTCGAATACGAATATATTCGAATGTTTTATTCGAATGATCGAATTTCTATTCGATTCGGACCCAAGTATACATGGAAGTAGACAGTATCACAAGTCTGCTGACGATAGGTGTCATTCAAAGAATAGCTTACATCATAATTTTTTGCCATTAGCCAAAGGATTCATTAAAGCATTAAACAAATTTTGCTTTTAATCTAGAAGAGCACAGATGTGTTTAGGGTAATGGAAATTAAATGAGCTGTTGAAGGTCTGCATACAAACAAATTCGCTAAGTCCTTCATAAACTTTGGTACAGAATCTATAATAGGCATTATCTGGGGAGATATGGTCTGAAACAGAGAAGTCCAATCAGAAGTATAGAATTAATCGTTTAGTCCAAGATAATCAAATTTTGGAAAGTCAGGAGCAGGATACATCTCTTAGCGGTATAGCCACCTTTTACATGAAATACAATAATGCTGTGATCAGAAGAGGAATAGGGGGAAGCATTTTGACACGCTTTACATTGTCTGTATTAGAAAAAATCACAGAATATTATTACCATGGGTAGATTTAAGCACATACTGCTGAACCCCACAATCAAGAAAGAAACTCCATCAAGTTTTTTGAATTTTGGTCTATCGAAACAAAATTAATCCAGTTGACATGAAGGTTGAAATCTCCCAAAATAATCATACCTTTGGTTTGTGAGGAAGTGAGATCAAGTCAAACATTCTTGAGCTCATCATCTTCATATCTTTTATAACTGGGTGGACGATATATTTCGATGAACCTCACATAACTAGATGGCAGCGCTGAACCACCAGATCATTTACTTTGATTTATCAAAAGCCTCTGACAGAGTTAATCACAGGAAACTTTTGCTGAAACTAGAAAGCGCGGGTATTCGTGGTCAGCTGCTGAAATGGCTGGAATCCTACCTCAGTGGACGTAGAATGACAGTGCGCGTTAAATCATGTACTCAGAAAAGTATTTGTGCAGCAGTGGTGTTTCACCAGGGGGGAATCCTCTCACCCCTTTTGTTTTTACTTTATACAGCCGACCTACCCTCATTCATCAAAACCGACCCAAAAGTATATGTGCAGATTTTTGATGATCTTAAGACACGCGCTTGCTATGGAAAAGAGGAAAGAGAGAAAGCTTACAAAGCCCTTTTCTCTTTCATAAAAAGAGTAAATTTATGGTCTGAGATGTGGGATCTGCCCTTGAATCTTTCAAAATGCTTTGTCATGCACTTAGGTGACACCAGTACCTACCTCAGGTCATATATCTGTGGTAGTACTGAGCTTGAGTATCGAAGCATCGTAAAAGATTTAGGCGTTTTTGTTGATGATGCTCTCAGTTTTACTGCACACTATGATTCAGTCGTCACCAACTCGCTGGCATCACTGTTTATGCTTCTACGTAGCATCCACAGTAATGAACCTGGACTTTCGTGCGTTTATACAAAACATATGTTTTACCTCATTTGGATTATGCTTCATCCTTATTCGGAAGTGGTGAAGCTCGAAAAAGTTCAGAAAATTTTTAAAAGGATAGTTTTTTAGGATGTTTCCCTGACCCTGAATACCCTCGTACATTACCGTCCTATTGTGCTCGACTTGCAGTTTTGAAACTGCATAGTTTGAAGTATAGATCTGTTAGCGACTTAGTGTTCTGCTTTCGTATCTAAAATTAGAAATGAAATTACGAGCCTGTAAATACTGGATCTTCGGGCCTAGTGGAGAGCGTATAGGTGGGTTTGATTTGCATTACAGGAAGCTAGGTAAAAAATGCTTTTTGCAAACCTCCAATTCATATTTCTGCAAAACCACAAAATGGTTAAAGGCACCGTCCACCCTAAGTTGAGGGTGTTGAGCTTTTAGCGGCATATAATAGTAGGGCCCCCCCCCATTGAGCCAATGCCCAAGTCGCGCTGCAAAATGCCGCTTTGGAAGCGAGAAAATCGCTCCGGAATAGCGAAGATGCACGTGGACCCCCATCCATGCCCACCTCTCCCCATCCATGCCCGCCCATCCGGTCGATTTCGCTCGGACACGCAGGCTGTAAGCGCACTACAGCGAGACCGTCAAGTGGCGTCTTGTAGGGGTAAATGCCGTACGAGTATTTCGCAAAATCTCTCATATTCTCGACTGGCTTCTCGATATATGAGCGTCTTTTGTACTTCTTGATGTATTTATGTATTCTTCCTGATAAAGTTACAACAGTCGTGCAAGGAGGCAGTCTACTGGAAGCAGGTTTGGCTGACGGTTCCAGCACAACATTACCGTCAAATGCTTTCAGCGAGCTAAGGTAGGTAGTTTTTTGTATTTGTTCTCGCTCAAGGAACTTCTAATCATACTGTGTTTAGAAAACAATCTCTTCTTTTGATGAAGGAGCCGCTGTCGACGCTGCGCAAAAACGTTACGGAGAAAATTACAGAGAAATGTCATGTTGCCCTGAACGATTATGAATTGAAGGTATGTATGTCGCGCTGTTTTTATCTCTTGACGTTATTTCGAGCCCATTGACTTTGAAAGTTGAATAGTTCCACTTTGCTTTGCTTTGATGCCTGCTAGAAATCACTTTTTCACCTTACTTAGCTATACATACAATGAAAGTGCTTGATTGCAAATAGTTCATCATTGCTCATGAATTCGGTATTTTCTTAAGATGTGTTTTAGACCAATGATGAAAGAGAGATTGAACATGGGGATTTTCTACGATCTGGATCTGAATTTCTGCGGATACATGTGCATTTCGGTGAGTGGATTTCCAGTGAGACTTGATGTTATGTTGCCGTTTCCGTTCTCATTTTTTTCTCTAGACGGAAAAGAAGCGATATTAGAAATTTAGAGCTTTGCTAACACATGTTTATACGTGTTGGTTATTACTGCTAGTGTGGTTCCATCTAGGCAGTCAGTTTCTGTGTGAAAGACGCTGCAAGAAAAGGAATTCTTGTGGAATCCATAAATGTCAAGAGTAATGCTGTACAAACCGAACATATATGCATGCAAGTATGTTTTTTGAACTTCTTTTGACTCATTCAGCATCAAAATAGTTTTGTCAATTTTATAATTAGCACCTTGTCTTATTTTTAGGTCTGCAACAAATGTCTCTCATGTGGTCTTCGTTTTTGTGAACGTGTGACATCTGCCATATTGGACAATGTCCGAGATGTTTGAATTCAAGTAAGTTTTCGTACATGTGTGAGAAATGTTTTCTTCTAATCTTTCTATAACTCCAGTTCCACTGAAATGAATTGCTCACATAAACTTCATTGATTGAACATCCACTCAATAATCCTTTTATTCAGGTAAGAACAATACTGTCATTGCGGGCGCATTACGCGACCACCTCCAATACCTTGTGGAACCGCATACTGTCGAGCAGATGGATGTGTGCAGAAGAAACAGATGTTTTCAAACAAATTTATTATTATCTCTGTGATTCGTTGGACTGTAATGAATTCAACTATCTTTTGTTTCCCTTGTAGTTCAATCTGTTCAGAAACTGAACAACTGGGCATCAGAGATGAATCTGCTGTTGCCGTGTAGTACGACATTCTACAAAAATTTCAAAAGAATAATACCATCGATCGAAACGGTTTATGACAAACATGAAGCACAAACTATCGTGTGTATCAAGAACGCTTATGAGGTAAACCAACTAAACGACGAACCAGCAAACTACAAGATTCCATTGTGCCACATGTTCAGAATGAAGTCCAGCCCGGATGGAATATAGCCATTGACGGGGCTTACGACAGCAGAGGCCACAGTGCGGACTTCTGCAAAGTCCTCGCCATTGATCTGAAAACTGGACTATGCGTGCATACTGAAGTTGTGCATCGGTCAGCAACAGGTAGCGCCAGAGAAGAACCCATCCTCAGGAACTCAAGTTAACATTGTAGGTGGTAAGAGTGGACGCATAGAGAAAGCCGGCTTCCACCGCATACTGCGATGGTTTAGATCAATGAATATTCCAATTCACTCGATCTCGAGCGATCGCAGTTACGCGTTCAAGACAGAGATTGAGTCTTACAATGCTGAATATGGAGATCAGGTCAGGTGGTATGTGGACCCCTGGCATCTAGCAAAGTACCTAGATAAAACCTTGCGAGCGGTAAGATTTGCAAAACTCGGTCCCACTCTCTGAAATACACAGTTAGGTCGGAAAGAGAAAGGATTGCGAGGCGATTCACGACTGGAAGGACCATATAAAGGGCCATCTCTACCACTCTATAAAACACGGTGCTCAAAACAACAGCGGAGAGGTAGTGAGGCACTACTTCAATACGTGCATCTACCACGTGGCAGACATACATCGATGGCCTCAGGTGAAATACTACCTCAACCACGGACGCTTCTAACCTTCTTTTTCAGAACACGCTCACAGAAAATATTACCTATTGTGACCACCAAGGTCTACTTCCTGAAGATCGAGAAATATCACCTGGGGAAGTGTAGCACACGACAAGCTAAAAGAGGTTATTCTTCAAGGTGCGTTCCAGAAAGACATCGCACTGGCTAGTCCCTATGGTGGGACTAGCCAGTGCGAGTCCAAAAACTCGCTGGACCGTATCTATGGTCCAAAAGAAGTCTACCTGTGAGTACCACAGCGCAGAACCCTGTCCTCCAAAACAATTCCATTTTCCCCATTTTTAGGCCATCATCCACATACTCTCTCTATGCGAAATTGTCGTCACTGCACAAAAACGCCTTACGAATAGCAGAATTGGATGGGGAAAGAATAGTAAAACGAGTGACCGTAGTCCACCGAAAATTCAGTGAAAGGGAGAGTCACATCGAACGCAAGACGCCTATTGAACATATCTGGCGTAAGGAAATCTGGATAGATTTCCTATCACACTATAACGAACGAACAACTAATGAAGAGGAGATGGAGTACGAAGAACTTGTGACATAATCGGTAGCCATACCAATGTGTAATTATTGTAAAATGTATATATAATCATAAACATCAACGTGAAAAAGCGGAAAAGAACTCAAAAGCAAGTAAAAAATTGAGACACCTCGATTAGATTTCGTTGAGAACGTTACAGGAAATAGCAGAAGTAATGGTGACCGTCAGATGACCGTCGGTTTTTCGACTGATAGTCATTGTGTCCCTCAAACAATTTCGGCATTTTGGAATGTACAGCAATCACTGAAATGAGGTGACTATATTGACAACGAACATGTTTTCATGTTCCGGAAACCTTGTTGGTGTGCAAACGCCCATTGCATTCTTTGCGGCAGTCTCCCGACTCTACAGCAACCAAATCTCATCGAAGGTATGTGAAGAGGGGCAGCATAATTCCGCAACACGTCCTAAGAAACATAGCAAATTCTGCCACAAGATTTACCATAACTGCAGTACCTGTGCAAAAACAAGCGTCCGCTCCAGTTCGTATTTATGCAAAACGTAAGCCTACATAAGTGACAAAGCAATCTGAAAACCTATCACAATGAAGGAGACTCTGAGACAATTGATTGTGAAGCGATCTGAAGTAATAGAATCTATGTATAGGCTTTCGCCCGTACTCACCTATGAAAAGATGCAGGCGTACACCACCGTTCGGCATGTACAGCGAACAAGTCAATGGGACAGCGCGTATAAGAATTTCTACGTTGCACAAAAAGCTATCTCGCGCTGAAATACAAAACAAACACAACTCTAAACCATAGGAAGCCAATAAAAAAGAAGTAGGACAAAAGAAGGCTATGTCATTTCTATAACACAACATACCAACACAACATACATTTCTTGCGATGCTGACAACCAGAACATGGCACGAACATCTAATTTATCAGCAGCGACAACATTCAGTAAACGATAACAAGAACTTGGAAGGCTCACTGAAGAGAAAAAATAAACAAACGAAGATCAAGATGCAGGAATAAGAGAAGCATAACGCAATAATAACATTCGAAGCTAAAGAATAAGACGATGAGGAGTGTAGACGCAATTGCGCCCAACGACTTTTCAGATGACGCAAAACAGCAAACCTCGAGAGCCTGCGATATCGTACTCGTCCACTCTTCTCAGAAAGGGTTCTCCAGAACGGAGAATCACGGGGTTTTCGCGGATTCTCGACCTCATATTCAGAATCAGTGACATGAGAAAGTCCTGAAACGCCAAAAACCTGGAAGTCGAGAACCTGGGTGGACGGTGCCTTTAAGCCTTTCGCCTAAGGAAATTATTTTTAGTAAAAACGCACCATCTTTTCGTAAGAAATTAAGTCTAGTACTGGAATATCTGCATATAGCTGATGTTTAGGTTGAGACTTCTGATCTGATCGTTCCCTTCTACCACTGATTCTCGCCAGCTGTGTTGTCAACTTTGACGACGACGGTTCATCGAGTCATGTTCTTCGACCTGCGCTGATCGAAATCTCCATCGCCGCATTTTTTTCTCATTCCGAGACTAACAAACGTCTTTTAATTTTTTTTCTGTTTTTTTTTATCTCCTTGATGTCATATCACTGACGTTGTTATTTGCTGGTTACTAACAGACTGGCGCGCCTATGAGCGTATCAGATAAATAAATAAATAAAACTAGCATTTGAGGGGCACAGCAGGTCAATCGAGAGCAAGTCAATGTCGGATACAGTGTGTTGATACACTTTACTACTGCATTATTGGCTAACTTTTCAGCTTAGTTCGCCTGGTCAGAGCCTAGAAAGTGAGAAACATTGAGAATGACCTCCCAAACATTTTATAACACGTAAAAAAATTTCAAAGGTTGAAAAGACTCCCGTTAAATCCAAAATGTTGGTTCACCTTTGCTGTCAGGTGAGGAAGAACCACCGCTGACTGGAATGCGCTAACAATCAATGAAGTGAGTCTGTGGAGGCTACGCATAGATCAAATTTGCACTATTCCAGTAATAGCGCAAGCTAAGTTGTTGGCAGTACATATTTCTTTATGTATGTTTTGGAATTTCTGGACAGAATCCGGCACGCCTTGAGGTCTTTCGCGCCGACACCTCAGTTTTCCGCTGACAGAATGTTAAGTGGAACCTCAACCTGTGTCTTGGTGGCATAGCTTGCGATGCGTGCTCAGAGAGTTCTGTGACATATTTGCGACCCGTCTATGCGTTCCTTGACCCTGATTCACAGCGGCCTTTCCGTCTCTTTCGTACGTTTCCGAAGATCAAAGTTATCAAACTCCGGGCACGCATCGCAGCCTATCCCATCAAGACACAGAATTCGAGGTTTCAGTCAGCATTCTGTCACGGAAAACTGAGATGTCGGCGTGAAAGACTTTTGAGGCATGCCCGGACTGCCGCGCCCAAAACAATTTCAGATCCCACTCCGTTCCCCTCATCAAACTAGCTTTTGGGAGAGTCAGAAGTACTAGAATTTAGGATCTCTGAGCAGTTTACCTTTCAATCGAGTGCTTGGAAAAGGCCACGATTAGATTAATCATTTATTCCTGTGACACAAAAGGAGGGACCGTAATTCTCAAAGAGGATAAATTCCTAGCTATGCACATGAGTCAATCGGACAGACGACTACTGTGCGAATCACAAAACAATTCAAGTTGTTTAGTGTTTAGAAAAAGGGCTTTATTCATACAGCGGCTTTATTCATACATGCTTTTTCGAGTTTTTTGTTTTTTCCGGTTTGGAGCGTAGAATTAGAAACTGTACTGACTAACTGTCTGACGTTGAAACACACGCAAAAGCGGTATTTCTGACAATGCCGCCCACACTGTTTCAGATTAGTGTGATTTAAGCTTTACAACTCCGACAACTGCAAATCAGATATCCGTTTAAATACACAATGAGTGGGCTTATGCTTGTATACCACATTACAAAGCATACTTATCCATCTCAATCCTCAATCAACTGACAAATTGACTATGCACAAATTGAGCCGGTCCGATATGCGTAATTTTCAAAAATTGCGCATGACGGGTCCATGCGGCTTTTGGCATGCAGAACTACGTCACTAATTGAACTTTTTGCAAAATCATGGATTTTAACACAGAAGATGCTAGAGCAGCCTGTTTTTTGCGAAAAAAAAAACAGAATGACTGCAGAAATGGTCGATTGGTATAGATTTACCTGGGATATTGAGAAGATCGTTGTTCAAAGATGTACAACACCACTCACAGAATGTAAAATTATGAATGGCGCGGAATTCCGGGAATGTCGTGGGCTTTCGCGAAATACCCGAAATTTCGCGACATTTACGGAAATTTTGCACATTCTGTGAGTGGTATTGTAGCCTGCGGTGATTATTGCCGTTATGGCTACTATCAAGCCAAAACAGTTTCAGAAGCTCATTCAAATTCGTACTTGTTTTTCTACAAAAAACTTTTTTTTTCTTAAGGTTACCAACCTTACGAGGAAAATTAGAATGAGTAATTGTTTACAATTTTACTTAAAATTCAGCATTGCTCTACGAGTTTCAAAGTCATCCACGCAAGCAAAAGGAAGACGACATAAGGATAGTAACCTCTGCGAAGCAGTTGGAACATTGGTTCAGATAGGCTAAATATGCAAAATTCAAAATGTAATCGCCATAGGATATTTACCTAGCATCGTAGCATACGAATGGTAAGTTTAATGAAACCCTCCTCCCTCCGAACATATTGAGCACCTTTTTCGTAATGAATATACCATAAACAATGTGGACTAGGCTCTATCGAATTTTGAGGTCTTCAAGTGCTAAGCCACTCAACTAAAATGGTCATTTTCGAAAATGTCAACTTCAGTTTGAAGGTGGATAGCTATTTCTTTTGTGCTCAACACAGAGCACTATTCCTGTTTTGCCCGTATTAGGAATGTCACTTCAAATAACCGCCAAAACCTGGATCTGATTGTCCTTTTTCGCTTTCAGTGGTTTTGCCTTTAGAAGCTAGTGACCAGAGTAAAGACGAATTGGGCCAAGATCACACCTATGCAAACGGATAGGCTATCGATTATATGAGGTCGCTCCGAAAGTGCGTGCCGTTTTCAAACTATGCTCAAACCAATTAAAATAATGATAGACAAACGCTCTAAATAGTACTCAATGTAGAATCTCTTCCTCTTTCCAAAGACTATGCCTTTTTTCACCTTCCTTTGACGTCTTATAGAATAAACAAAATGCAATGCAATGCATTTTTTGGCATTCTCAGCTGCCTTTTCAAAATTTTTGTGATATTATCAAATTATATTTGGGCATCTTCCTCACACAGAATAAACGGTAAGCAAGCGGGGTGTCATTCGATGCAGCTTTTTCTCACCTTTCTGATAGACTTCTTTTCTTCCTGAATCGTTCAATATATATATGAGGATAAAATCATCATATTTCATGTTTTCAAACTCGTCCCAGGTGTACCAAGAAAATTCGGAATCCACTATTTCGAACCGCTAAACGCCCAGTTGCTTGCAAAAATCAGCATTTAATGATCAGCTGTTTTCGAAAGCTTCAAATTCCGAAGATTCATTAGTTTTCAAGTGGTTGCATATTTTACAACTTCCAAAAGTAAAGCTTAGAAAAATATTCTTTGAGGTGCTGAAAAGCTATATGAAAAGGCCAAAACACAGTGCGTTTCATAATTACGACACCCTTCAAAATATTAAGTTTCCGGATTTATGTGAGAGATGAAGCAGCACTACCGGTGCCATTGTAGTCTACACCTGACATATGATGAAATGATATCTCGGTCTGTAGTATCCTCCCCCCTTGGAAGTGACGTACGAGGTCGAGAATCAGTTGAAGCTCAATACCACTCCGCCGGCCATTGATAAATTTGCAGGCTATCTCTCAACATGCTTAATCTCAACAACGCAGGTCGTGATCCTAGCCAAGCTTGAGCTCGCGCTCTTAAGCGTGGAAATTAGCGCGAGCTACGTACGTTACTTCACATTCTAATGAAATAGTACGCGCTGGTGGGAGACGCAGAACAATAGCGCGAGAGTAGAGCTCGACT